TCATACGATTTCTTTGGAACAATTACTTCATCAAAATGAGGAATCACTTCTCTTTTTATACTATTCTTAGCCTCTTCTGGCAACTTGTCCGTTAAGTTAATTAACTCAACCAGTATATCCATAAAATGATTTTGCTCATTTGGAAATGCAAAGTTTAAACCCCTTTCCAAGACGAGCGTAACATTTGCATCTATAGATATACTGGATAAATTAATGACTTTATTTTTGCTAGAAAAAAAGTTTAACTACCTCTTTATTGTTTCGACGATTCCTTTGGCTGATGTAGATGCCTAAATTCCTTTATTTCCTATCATGTCGGGATCTATGGATCTTATCCATCCTATCCGCCAAACCGTCCGCCATTTTCTGCAATTTGAGAAAGTCTTCTTGAAAAAATAGCTGAAAAAGGGATAATCTAGTCCTTGTTTTGGTTATAATCAGGTCATGTAATTGTCTATACTTTATTTGAGTCTAGTCTTAACCAAACCACCTGATACATGCTCCAGTTTCCTATTAGTGGAAATAGGTAAATCTGGACGTCTACCATGAATACAACATTTAGGAATTGTGAAATACAAATTATTAAAAATCCTATAGTATTGACTCACCTGGATATAGATTTCTTTGTTTTGTATAGCCAGAAGAAAGTTGATAAGAATTCATACCATACGTACGCAATATATGCGAAGCAAAGTTGAGTTTCGAGGAATCTCATACACATTTATAGAAAGGCACACTAACAGGCATCAAAGTTGACATATGACCTTAACAAACCAAATCACTTTATACTTGATCAAAGAGGCCAGATTTATAGTATATATACCACTTTTTGGGAATTTGCCGGTGAGTTTTCTTGACTCGTTAGCTTGAATTTTGTTGTGACGATGATGCCTTGCTCTGATGATGTTCGTCATATGACGGACGAAAGCTTAGCACCTTTTCACTGGAATCGAAGGAGATTACCTCGGAAACAGCGTCAGCATGAATCTTCCAGTAAAGCCAATTGACAGCTGGTCAAGAGGAATCCGCCCTTGTCCTCTGGTGGAACCGACCTTCGAATCTCTTCATCCAACACTTTAACTCGAAATGGAAGTAAGCTCAACAATTATCATAATATATGCGAAGAAAAGTTGGGTTTCGAGAAATCTCTTGTTTCATAATTGTTGAGCTTACTACAATTCAGAATGAAAGTGTTTGGTGAATCTCTTCACTCGGTTCCAGTCCCAGTGTGTGTTTCACTCCAGGCTCTATTTTTTAAGGCTCTAGAAGTACGCACATTGCCGCCTCACCGAACAGAGGTCATAGATTTTGGTTCCCATGCTTACAGATATCAATCATTTCCTTCAAGGGTCGTTTCCTTGATTCAACCCGTGTAACCTGAGCAAACTGTGGACGCTTATAGAGGTTGTTTGACCTTGTTTTCGCAACATGATCATATTGGTTGGAAGACTTAGAGGAACGCACCTAGTCCGGAGTGAATAGCAGGTGTGATGAGACCACACTAGATTTGCAACAAAAGGGCACACATTTTGACGAGTGGAATGTAAACAAGGCATAGGTTGTGATAGGGCAGGAGTTTGATAAGAGGGTAAAGAGTATATAGATAGGCCAAGACAGAAACAGGAGTGATAGTGTTCGGCAGAAGGTTGATGGAAGGTTTGACTTCACATTTCTCTTTACCGAGTTCGTAGCTTGGTGAGGATAATGACAGCGCTCACTGATGATCCTGACCACGATTCCGGCGAAACGTTTGAGTATGTAAAAAGTCCACTGTCTGTAGCTGTGACTTATGATAACTACCTTGGCAGAGGACTTCGTACAAGATGCGTTCTACTATGTCGCCCTGACAGCAAGACCAAGTTGCAACAACGAGGTCAACGCATTTATGTATTGTTGTTTGCTTTCTCATTACTCTGTTGTTCTATTCCCTTAGTAACCGTCGCAATTTTCAGTTCAGTTCACAGGAAGGAAGATGTATACACTTTTGGTTGTCCTTATTCCTGATCTTATTTTTATCAAATCCGAATTGAAACCTGATCTATATCCCCCTATATTTCTTTTAATTTCTTTTTATATGTATTTCTATATGTTTCTATATTTCTTCTCTGAGGTACCTGCTACTAAGTCAAATCCGAGTTTGTTTGTCCAACTCCTTGTCCCAGAAATCAATGTCCATTAGTCTTAAGCTTTTTATGATCAAAATCCTCACTATTTCGATCTTCAGTCTGTAGCTGTGTTGAGACTGGAAACTGAGCGTTCTATCCGCATGCGATTTCTGTTTGAATAGTCTCCTCCTGAGTATCCAATTGGAGCGAATAACCTCCATGTACAGGAAAGGTAGTTTCTTATTTTCTTCCACCTCTTGTGCATTTAACTCGTTCATCGAGTTTGTTCATGAAATTGAGGTATTCATTCAAATTTTCCTTATTATGCGACCAAAGTGCGAGGTAGTCATCAAGGTATAAAATAAGCACTCTTGGTTACAACAATGTCTTCTCGAATTCCTTTTCCAATTTACCCTTGTATATATTTGCCAAGAGAGGTGAGAATGGAGATCCCATGAGTTTGGCAAATATTTGCACACAGATATAGCCGTTAAATGTAAAATAAGGGGTCTTTACTACCAGGTTGATCTGTCGTGTTAACGACTTCTTCCGTGTACGCTCTGCTTTTTCTCGTTGCAACATTTTCAGCGGGGCGTTTACCGCCTTCTCTTCTGAGATGTTTACGCACCTAGATTTTACGTCAAAATTTACCAATAGGCTCGTCCCCACCAGCTCAATGTTTTGGATCCTTTGAGAAAAATCATATAAATACTTCACGGTATTCGAGAGTCTGCTGTTTACTTTCTTGACCTCCAAGCAAATGAATTTCGCTAGCTTGTACGTTTTTGCATGCTTAGAGTTGCCTATTAGTCTTAGCAGTTTCCCTCATTGTGTATCTTCGGCATTAACTTTTAATTAAAGAATTCATCAGCCATCTATCTATTTCTTCGTTATTATGCATTTCTTTAAGCATATCCTTCAGTTTCCTGCTGATCTTCATGGTCGGAGCCTTCTGTAGAATTTGATAAATATTCCGATTGCCTAGGATACTTTCAATTTTATCCGTGTACTGTTTCCTGTTTATTACCACCGTCTATCCTCTATTATCCGCATGGGTAACTATTTAGTCATTCTTTCGCAATTTTTTTATATCCTAGTCAATCCGATCATGTGTATTGGCTCTTGATGTGCCAGGATTCTTGTGATTATTTCCATTTACATCTCCCGCTTTGTCTATCCTGAATATTTTTCCGCTATTCTAACAACTTTCGCAATAATACTATCTATAACGTTCCCTTAGTTAGTTAGGGAAAAATTAAATCTTTTATTGAGGAGATCCTTGATTTAGGTTAAAAAAGGGCTGAGAATACATTTACTACCTTATCCCTCTCGTCGTTTCTATCAGTTGATGCATTCATTAGAGAAGCATCAAAATTTGACTGGGTTGACTTAATCCTGTATTGTCTTATTATCCCATTTATGGGCAATTTTTTTGTGATACCGCTTAGTTATCAAATCCCGGAACATTTGTTACTTCTGATCCTTCCTAAATCTAGACCTAATATCTATGAACGTAAATACTTGACACCTCCCGATCTCGTAACTCTCCTCTTATTTCTAGATATGGGCGTAATAAAGCATTTTATTAACTGTGTCCGAATGACAATTCCTCATCAAGTTGCAGAACCCGGGATCCTAGCCAAAGGATCGATGTGCTGTAATGTTTTGCTAAGAATGACAAGGCTCACTGACGATGCCGACTACGATGCCGGTGAGATGTCTGGAAATCTAGCAAGTCTATGGTTCGACTCTGGAAATTAGCATTCATCCTATGGACTCCGGACGAGGTGCATTCCTTTAGGTCTTCCTGTTAATATGACCAAGTTCCGAAAATAAGGTCAAACAACTCCTAAATCACTTTTTCGTGGAATTGGTCTCCTCTACATATAAGGCAATCTTATAATCAATGGTTGCCAACCTCATTATTTATTTATTTTTTTTATTTGAAAACAAATGCTTTTTTGAACTTTTTATATGCCATAGTTTCTGATACTAGCTTATTCAAAACGGTGCTGTTAGAGTGCATCGCTTTAACTGACCCTTCATCTATTTCTTTTGACGTGTTTCCTCCCCCTACCCTCCTTCTTTGTTGCCAGATTGATTAATATTGGAAAAGCCTTCCAAGCAGAACTTCCGGATTTCAATCCAGGTACGTCTGTGTCATTCCTAAAACGAAGTTTTGAGGATAGCAGCATCTGTAGGTGAAGCCCATATTATTAAATGCCTTGCTTAAAGTCAGCCTTAATAATTTGTTCTCATTGATTCTCATTAAATGTTTACGAAAATGAGGATCGTTTTTTTTTTCTTTACTAAATAAGCCATTAACTTGCTTTATGAGAATAGATTCAGTTAATTATGCATAAAGAAGCTAGATTATATAAAAGTGCTTAAATTTTGTTTTTACCTATTCATTGAGCCTTTAATGCATAGATTGTTTTGCAAGTATCTGTTTGGGATATTACAGACAATGTGAAAATTCATTGAAATGTCCAAATCGTACTAAAGCATTTAAAATTTAGAAATCACTTTCGAGTGCTTTAATTTAAGAGTAATTGCACATACAAGGGTTTGCATCTTTCTTACAAACTCACGATTTCTATACAAACTTTAGGAGCCAAACCTTCATTTATCTGTTGCTCTTTATCTGACAGAATAAAAAATGAGTTCTCAATTTATGAGATTATATCTTTAGTTCTTCATTAATTATGGAATGGCTTCAGCTTTAAATGCCCTCTACATTGCTCTCATTAAAATTTCTATATTCGTGAGGCAAAACAGCATGTAAACTCTGTGTTTCCTATTTAAGCTGTGTGTTGCCCTGGATATCGCAGGTAAAGGCTCGCTTGCGTAGAATTTTTGGAGTCGTATACGCTGAATGTTGATCAGTGGATGATCTCTCAAAAGGCATACTAAAGATTGTTTTCTCCTAAGTCTGAATTTGGTGATATTCACGCTCATGAAGTATGGCTTATGCTGGTTGACCTATTGCTATATTTGCTTTTTTGTCCTTGTAGTTTTATATTTATTATATAAACTCGTACATTAGATAGATATTTTACAATCAAAACTTTTCTTCAAATGAGATTAACAATTTCACTTATATGACTTTGGATCGGATCATTGTAGAATCGTCACTTTGACAACTGTTTTTGCCTCGGTTTGCTTTTAACAGTGTACGTATTGGCTTCTGTACTTATCTTCTAGCTTCCCTTGGGCTTTTTATTCGGCTATGAAATAACTGTGGCTTCGCCCTTTAAGGTCGTTTTTGCGTCGTTATTTGCAGCATGGCAATATCCTATGCCTTACTTTGGCATTCTAGCAGAGTATTTCTTAACTAATCCCCCGTTCCATGCATTTCTAATTTGTCATTCCTATAAATACTTATTTTCACCAGAGGATTCAGTGTGGGCACTTTTCTATCTTTGTTTCTTCTATATCATCAAAGACCATTGTTATATTCTATGTGAAGTTTCAGATAAGAAGCAATGGGTTGATTATTCTGCAACTAGGTTTCTGTATATAAAGGAGTTCTCAGATGATAACAATCGTTTATAGACTATTTAATGTGAACTCCAGGCTCATATTCGGTATTTGACTATAGAACAGCGCCTTGCCAGTCTGTTACGGAATCTATAATTTGTTAAATAAACAAGCTATATGCTGTGGTATTAAGCTGCTCAGAAACATTGGTTATAGATATATCGTGTGCACATGAGGCTTTAGATTCATAGTCGGAATTCTTTTATTTCTTATCAGAGTTAGCATCATCAGTGATAGTGATGTATTTTATTAACTTCATAACAAGAAGGCTGAATCCCAGAACCGCTTTCTGAGCTGCGAATCCAGCTGCACATGAATAATTAATTCTAGGTATTCTTAGCTTATGATAACTAACTTTTTAAGCCTCTTGTGTACTACATCACAGTTTGCCTTAAATATATTTGCTCCAATATTCACCCTCTTTTAAAATTACGATTAATTCAATTTATTCGCTTTCTCATATTTGTGACCTTCGGAGCATTAACAACTGTTCATTTTGCCACTAAAGCTGCAGATGATATGTCAATATGTGAGCTTGCTGCAGCTTGCTTCACTTTAAACTTGCACATGCTTGACCAAACGGTAATTGAGCCATAAGCAGTCTAGTCCTTTCGTAGTCGTCTCTGGACCCGAACTTTTGGGGTTTGATTGCCATTGCGAATGAAGTACTGCAACTTGATTATACATTCTTTGTTCCAAATCATTGAATTTATGTTGTTTACTATCGCTTTCAAGAGGGTCTTTATTGCATTTCTTCGTTCTCACTGCGCTGTTTGTGGTTTATGGCCTTTTTTTGGTATCCAGATGGTCACCAATATCAGGAGCTTGGTTGCCGCATGGCTTTGTAGGAACTGATGGAAATTTTACCCACGACATTTTGAGTATTTAGCAATATGATGGCTAAATATAGATATAAAAATTCCCTCCATAGAAGCGAACTTAAAGTCTTGATTTACCTGTAGTTATGCCATTCCTGTAGTCCAAGAATGTATGTTTCTATCTATCCTGGATAAATACGTCGTTTTGGAATGCATTGAACTATAAATTATTGCTATCAAATGAAAGCCCACGCCATCTTCGTATTCACATCCACGATATAAATGTCAAGGTTTTCTCTAATTCATCGTGGGTCTAATTACCATACTCACTAATATCACAAAAATTCTATATTTTACTAATTAGACGACTTGATTTTCTAGCTAAGAGATAATTTCACATTTTTTTACCATTGTAAATCTCGGTTACTTTATCCCAGACCTATTCACCATGACTTAATATAAGTGTTCTAGGAAGCATGATATGTGCAATCCCACTAAACACGAAGTCAGTTACGTTACCTTAAGTTTTTACGTCCATTTGGCCAAATTCAGAAAAGTGGTCACTAAGCTTATACAAGTTGAGGATTTAAAAAAACTTTTCTATTTTTGTAACTTGTCAGGGAAACTTCGTTTAATGCACCTTGTCTGCAGTCATTTTCCATAGTAGTAATGATAATTTCCAGCGTCAGACCGTGAACTTATTGAATTCCCATACTTTTAGCTGGCATCTTAATCAGCATCGTCAAAGAGCATTGTCATTCTTGGAACAAAGCTACAACTCGTTGAATAAATAAGTGAAGGCCTTACATTGACTAACTTCCTGCCGAATAATTGTTGTATCACTCCTGTTCTGATACATCAACCCATTTCTCATCCTCTTATCTCACTCCTCTTCTACCCAACTTTTAACTTGCCAATAATATACTGCTTCATAGATGGGCCTTTCTGAGCGGATATAGTTAGGTGCCATCACGCCCCTCCTTTGTTTCTCCCTTCCCCATCGTACAGGAAATGTTGATCTGACTTGACCCTTTCAGTCTGTGGCTTATCTCATCCGAATCCTATTAGAGCCTACTTCGTAGCCTTGGCAGCCCATTTCTTATTTCCCTTGTTCAATAATTTCTATCGAACACAGCCACCTTATTCGTCCTTCTCAAAGCGTTATATTCTGTGATCTGCCTCAAGCGTTGGATGGCAGGTGTACTGACAGTAACCTCAGCGAGCAAGCTTTCAATTCTCTTGTTCTCATTTTGGCATGTGTGATGGGTCGATAAATTTCTTGGTCAGGTCTTTAATACGTCGTCCACCTTGGTTTTCAAACTCATGTACAGGGAACTTAGATCCTTTGTCTCCATCACATATCTGCGGTTTGGTTCTGCCATAACTGGTCTCGTTCTTCCATCCATAATGCAAAATTTTTATGCTGCATCTAGCCTCCCTGTTGCCTATTCCCCTTATGTAACTAGTCTTTCTTAGCTTTCAGTTGATTTCGTGTCCCATTTCTGTAATGTCGTCTGCTATTTCTGATTTCTCTATTCCAATATTTCTGCGCTACCTTTGGTGTTCATCGATATGTATGCTAATTTTTATTCCTCTTTCATCACATTATTTTTGTTCATACCGCTCATGGAAGGGTAAACGTTTCCAAATTTTACGTCTCTCACTCCTGATCTTCTTTTCACAATCCTTAGATGCGTTCATCGAGGTTCTCTGACACTACGACTAAGCTATGTGAATAAAATCAAGCCTCTCATTCAAATGAATTTATTTTTTATTTGATTAGACTTTGAAAGCAATTTCAATATATGAAATTCAACTATCAGTCTTTACATCCTTTTGGCCAGCCCAGAATAACTAAACTTTTTATTAAAATGAATTAAATATTGCTCGGCTATTTTATAAATTTTTTTTAAACTTTTTAAAAACCCGCCACTATTCAAGCTCTCTATACATCTTCATAGGAATGGTTTTATTTTTACATCACCTTCATTTGCACATTCCAGCCAATGTTTCTAAAGTAAACTGGTATCAGCATACTTGTTATATTATATACTAAAGAAGCATCAGGGACATCAGAGATTGCATCCCCTTTACTGAGCTGTTAAAAAGCCCCATAAGCAAAGTCTATCCTTACACCATACATTTTTTTCTCTGTATAGATCCAAAAGCCGCTCTAGCTGAAACAACTCGTGAATGGGAGACTCTTCTTTGGTATCCAGAGAATTTGGATGCTGAGGATCCAAAAAATAGAGACTCCTGTGAGTTTTTCATGCAGATCATTAATTTATTATTTAGATCCTACGTAAAGTAATGGGACCTATTTTTATGGTAAACTCTTATCCTTTTTCATTACATTTTCTTGATTAAAATATTTTGGGTTCGATTGAGCTAAAGAGTTCTATT